AGGTCGGGAGTTCAAGACCAGCCTGACCAACATGGTGAAACCCTGTCGTGAAAAAGTAAAAATAAAAATAAACTTAAGCCTCTGCTTCCATTTTATTTGGTTTTTTTTTTTTTTTTTACTTAGACGGAGTTTCGCTCTTGTTACCCAGGCTGGAGTGCAATGGCGCGATCTCGGCTCACCGCAACCTCCGCCTCCTGGGTTCAAGCAATTCTCCTGCCTCAGCCTCCTGAGTAGCTGGGACTACAGGCACGCGCCACCATGCCCAGCTAATGTTTTTGTATTTTTAGTAGAGACGGGGTTTCACCATATTGACCAGGATGGTCTCGATCTCTTGACCTCGTGATCCACCCGCCTCGGCCTCCCAAAGTGCTGGGATTACAGGCTTGAGCCACCGCGCCCGGCCCTAATACCTATTGTTTAAGAGGAATATATATGTGATGGAAATAAAAAGCCTGGCTTCATTTAAGTTAGATTACATTTATTTGTGGACACAAACAGAGGCCCACGTATGAGAGCAGAGAAGGGCAGAGGAAGGGAGCAGTGGGGAGGACGGTGTAGACTATGTGGGGCCCTGCTGTCCACACAGCAACCTGGAGCTTTTAAGGAGAGCATAGATTCAATGGGACTTTCACTCTGACAGGATCCCTCAGCCTCCCTGGACAGAACAGAACCAAGTGGGTCATGGCAGTCACAGAGAAGCTAGAAAGGTGTTTCCTGGGTCCTCCAGGAGGAGGGATAGGGGCTTGAACCAGGGAGGCAGGGGTAGGGTGAGGATATGCTTTTGGATGTGTGTGGAAGGTTGAGCTCACAGGGTTTTCTAATGGATGTGGTCAGCAAGGGGAAATCAAGACCAAGGATGAGGCCCGAATATTCCCCTGAGCACCTGAAAGGAAGGAGCTGTGTCCATAGAGGACTTCAGAGGGAAGGCTTTCAGGGGCGATGGTAATTCTGAGAATCCCCCTGACATCCAAATGGGAATAGGACAGAGACAGCTAAATGCAAATGCCTGGAGTACAGGAGGGGGGTCCAGGCTGGGGATGTTTCAGTGCATAGCTGGAGTGAGGTGATCATCACATATGAGGTAAGGAAGTGATGACGACAGGTGGAAGAGGACACATACTTGTCACTGGTGCTTTTGTGACAACATATGCTATCTTCAATCTTTTTGATAATAGTCATTCTAATGGATACAATCAGATCTGTGCCACACGATCTAGGAAGGCAGATTTCCAAATCTCAAGTAAGAGATCAGCATGGCCATACTGTCTGTAACTCTTGACAAACAAGAAGGAGCAAGAGGGTTAGGAAATTTCTGAAAAACTAAATTCCAACAAGACAATTACAAACACATGTTAATGCCCAAACAAGCAGCTCACGAAAGAAAAATACAAATAGCCATAAACATGAAAAAGTAAGCCTGAACTTTTATTAGAAGGGGAACCTCAAACCCACACATGGTCAGAAGTCATTCACCTCTGCACAGGGTGGAGGAAAACTCCAAAGTCAAGTGTTAAATATACCTTAAAAATGAAGATGTGAATCTCACTGCATGTATTTAGTGAACTTTATCAGGCATAATTTACATGAAATAAAGTGTCTGTATATTACACTCATATTATCTGAAAATTTGTCTTTGGGCCACATTTATCTATGAGAAGCATATTTTTTCATTAAAGGAAATGCTAATCTCTATAATGAGTACCTTTAAAAAAATCGCTCCTGTCCACACTACACTGAGTAGCAACATTAACCAAAAAGAAGTATCTTCTGCACTGGTTCATAGAATATGTGTTCTTCTTTACGTTTTACACGAAGATGCTGCATGGTTCTTATTTTAGAGGTGTCATTGAAACTGCAAATCTGTATACTACTTATCAGGGAAAAATTCTATAGCCACATTTCTTTAAAAATACCCAATATGCTACCATGACACATGGCAAAATCATCAGTGCCCACAGCTCTAAAGCCAGACAGTGTGTGTGTGCTAAGGATGTGAGGTGATGGATGGGGAGCATCTCAAGGCTAGGGGCCAGGTCAGTGCTATCTCTTCTCTCCATTGGCACCTAGACACAGAAACTATTTATTTGGTGAATGAATGAATGGCTACCACCTTCACTGCACCTAGGGCCATTCTTCATTTATTTAGTCCCAGACACTCCCACAGACCCTACAGAATCCTATATCCTGCAGGATCAATGACCTCATGGCTCAAGATGAGGCTGTGACTGGGGCCAGGAGTGACCAGTGCCCAGGTATAAACAGTGATGCACAGAAAAACACCTCAGAGTGAGAGGGTTTTCGACATGGGTGTCCCACACTTCAGATGTCCCCAGAGGTCCTGGTCCACACTGGCATTGGAGGGAAGTCCTGAGGTGGGAGGCAGAAAGTTGTCTCTTTTCCTTCTCTGGTCACCTTTGGGCAGGTCTCTGAGGTCACTTGGCTTTGGAGTTTTCCTCCATTCTTTCTGCTTAGAGGCGGATGACCTCTGACCATCTGTGGGTTTGAGGTTCTTCTTCTGTGAACTGCCAAGATCTCGTGCTTCTCCCCACAATGTCTCTTGTGACCTGGTTCGGTCCCCACAGTCCTCTTCTCTGCTCACACAGGAAGCTCGGGAAGCCTCTGCCTCAGAGATGCTGCTGCTGCCGCTCCTGCTGCCACTACCCCTACTGTGGGTAGGTGAGTGTCCCTGGGGCTGTGAGAGGGGCTGTGGGGATGAGCCCAGCTGACCCTCATGTCTCTACAGGGGCCCTCACTGAGGATGCAGGATTCCGGCTGGAGGTGCCAGAGTCTGTGAGGGTGCAAGAGGGTCTGTGCGTCTTTGTGCATTGTTCAGTCTTCTACATACAGTATGGCTGGAAAGATTCTACTCCTGCTTATGGGTACTGGTTCCGGGAAGGGGTCAGTGTAGACCAGGACACTCCAGTGGCCACAAACAACTCAACTCAAGAAGTGTGGAAGGAGACCCAGGGCCGATTCCACCTCCTCGGTGACCCTGGGAGGAACAACTGCTCCCTGAGCATCAGAGACGCCAGGAGGAAGGACAATGGTTCATACTTCTTTCGGGTGGAGAGAGGAAGAATAAAATTTAGTTACAAATATCCCCAGCTCTCTGTGCATGTGACAGGTAAGGCATGGGCTCCAGGAGTGGCACAAGGGGAAGGTTAAGGGGGCCACGGGGAAGGGCTCAGATGGGACTTGTATCCTTGAAGGGTGTTAGGAATGAAGCATGTCGGGCTTGGGAGAGGAGCTAGACCAGAGCCTGAGCTTCCTACAGGGCTACACCTTGGAAATCCCTCCTGATCCCTCATCCCCACCTCTGTCTTCACCAGCCCTGACCCACAAGCCTGACATCCTCATTCCGGAGTTCCTGAAGTCTGGCCACCCCAGCAACCTGACCTGCTCTGTGCCCTGGGCCTGTGAGCAAGGAACACCCCCCATCTTCTCCTGGATGTCAGCTGCCACCACCTCCCTGGGCCCCAGGACTTTCCACTCCTCGGTGCTCATCATCACCCCACGGCCCCAGGACCACGGCACCAACCTCACCTGTCGGGTGATGTTCCCTGGAGCTGGTGTGGCCACAGAGAGAATCATCCAGCTCAGTGTCTCTTGTGAGTGCTGGGGCCAGGATGCCTAGGTCCCTGAGGGTGTAGTGGGGAGAGGAGGACCAGGAGATAGGAGGACCAGGACTGGGGCCATTTGGTGGCTGTGTCTTGGACGCCTTGCTGAGTAGGGGAACTAAAAGGACCCAAGCTGTCACTCGACATTTCTGTGGGTTTCTAGAGGAGTGCCTACTTTCATCTCACCCCCATCCCAACTAAATGAGAAATCCTCTCTTGCTGTACTAGATCCTAAAATGAACCCAGCGATTGAAGTCTCCCTAGAAGATGGCACAGGTAGGACAGAGCCCCTCACCGTGGCACTGAAGAGCAGGGCCTTCAGCTCAGGGCAGAGCCAGGCTCTTGCCTCATCCTGACTCACTATGGTAACCAGAGACCCCTGTTGGCCAACTCAGGGATCCTCCCTATCCTCAGCTCCCATGGACACCCGAGCACGTGTCTGCATGGGCCCACAGATTCCTCCAAACACACGTCCTGGCCCCACAATAAAGACCAAGTGACATTCACACAGCAGGACCAGCCTTTGAGCCCTTATCCTCCACCTCCTAAAAACTCCTCCAGCCTCAACTTTTAATATTTCCCAGGAGTTTAATGTACTTCTGGACAGGTAATATAATCATATGGGCAAAAATGCTAAATCCATAGCAGAGTATGTCCTCAGATGCCTGTACCTGTCCCCAGAACCAACCAGTGTCCATCCTGGCTGCTCTGAGCCTTGGTGTATTCCCTGGAAGGATCTCAGAGGTCATTTGCTATCAGCAGCACAGACTGTCCTCACTCTCCTCTTGGACTGTGTAGTGTTCATTGAAGAGTTGGATCCTAATTCTGTATATATCTTCTTGAAATGGAAAATCATGTTTCTACCAACAGAAACAATGGATTGAACAGTCTTCTATCTACTTTACAAGTCTATGTCTATGTCTGTGGGATCAGTTCTTTAAAGCAAAATAGCTGGGTCTTATGTTCTTTCTGATTTTGAGAGATATGGCCAAATTGTTCTCAATCAATAGTGGATAAGTTTACATTTCCAACGGCGTGGGGTGAAAGTCTTCTTTTCTTTCTTTCCTTTTTTTTTTTTTTTTTTTTTTTTCCCGAGAGTCTCACTCTGTCACCCAGGCTGGAGTGCAGTAGCATGGTCTCAGCTCACTGCAACCTCCACCTCATGGGTTCAAGCAATTCTCGTGCCTCAGCCTCCCAAGTAGCTGGTAGACTACAGGTGCCTGCCACCATGCCTGGCTAATTTTTTGCATTTTAGTAGAAATGGGGTTTCACCATGTTGCCCAGGCTTGTCTCCAACTCCAGAGCTCAGGCAATCTGTCTCCCTCAGCCTCCCAAAGTGCTTGGACCACAGGCTTAAGCCACCATACCCAGCCGAAAGTGTGTTTTCATCAACCCAATGTGGAATGAAACATTTTTCTTTTTCCCAGTATTAGATGAAAATTGGTATCTCCATATAATTTTTTTTCTTTATATGAACTTTTAAAATTGAGATAAAATTAAATTGAGAAATCATTAAATTTACAATTTTACTCATTTTAAATTGTATGGTAAACTGGCTTTTAGTCACATATTGCACAACCATAATCATGATCTAATCCAAGAACATTCTCTTTACTTCAAAAATCCACTCCATTCGCATTAAGCAGTCACTTCTCATTATCCCCTCCTCTGGCAAGCACTAATCTGCCTTCTGTCTCTACAGATTTGCCTGTTTCTGACATTTCATGTAAGTGGAATCACACAAAATACAGCCTCTTGTGTCTGATTTTTTTCACATAACATAATGCTGTCAAGATTCACCCCTGTACTATGCATGAGTTCTTCATTTCTTTGGAAATCTAATATCCCATTGTATGGAGACACTACGTTTTGCTCATTCACTTCTCAGTTGATGAACATTACAGCTGTTAACACTTTTTGGCTATTACTAATAATACTGCCAAGAACATTCATGTACAACTTTTTGTTGGAACCTATGTTTTTATTTTGCTTGAGCATATCCCTAGGAGTGGAATTTTTAGGTCATGTTGTAATCCTGTGTTTAACTTTTTGAGGAGATGCCAGCCTCTTATCCAGTGTCAGCACCACTTTTCACTGGCACCAGCAACATATAGAGTTGCAAATTCTCCATATTCTTTTGAACATTCTCATTTTTCTTTTTAAAAAGAACTATGGCCGGGCACGGTGGCTCAAGCCTGTAATCCCAGCACTTTGGGAGGCCGAGGTGGGTGGATCACGAGGTCAAGAGATCGAGACCATCCTGGTCAACACGGTGAAACCCCATCTCTACTAAAAATACAAAAAATCAGCTGGGCATGGTGGTGCGTGCCTGTAATCCCAGCTACTCAGGAGGCTGAGGCAGGAGAATTGCCTGAACCCAGGAGGCGGAGGTTGTGGTGAGCTGATACCATGACATTGCACTCCGGCCTGGGTAACATGAGTGAAACTCCGTCTCAACAAAAAAAAAGAACTATGGCCTTCTAGTGCATATAAATTAGTAACTCATTGTGGGTACAATATGCATTAACATACTGATGAATGGTATCGAACATATTTTCATGGACTAATTGGTATTTGTATCTTTTTTTAGAGAAGTTTTCACTCAAGCTCTTTGTCTACTTTTAAATAGATTAATTTGGGTTGTTTGTAATTTGAGTGGTTTGTAAATTACATGCTCTTTATATATGCTGGATACTACACCCTTATCAGATCCGTGCTTTACAAATGTATTTTCCCATTCTGTGGGTTGTCTATTTGCTTTCTTGATAGTGCCATTCAATGCGAAATAGTTTTTAATTTTGATAAAGTCCAAATTATGTATCATTTCTTCCTCCAACTGCTGGACAGACAGGGCACAGCTTAGGGTGAGCCCTGGGCTGATGTGGTACCACATCCAGGGATTCAGGAAGGATCTGGAGAACCAATGTCCAAGTTGTCTTGGGAGAGGAAGGACACGGATTGTGGTTTAGCAGGTGAATGGGCCTCATCCCACCTTTTTGCAGGGAAATCAGGAACCATAGCAGAGGTGGTTGTTTTGGCTGTGGGAGTAGTGGCTATGAAGATCCTGCTTCTCTGCCTCTGCCTTATCATCCTCAGGTTAGCACTACTTGAAGACCAAGGGCAGGCATGGGGAGGGCAGAGGATATGATGCTGAATCTCAGAATCTCAATCCTGGGGCTATGCAGATAGTTTAAGAGGGCCTGGGGCCAGGCAGGAGGCTGAATTGGTGGTGAGAATTTCAGATGGGCCATTTGTAGTCAGTTTGTATCTTTCCCAACTGTGGGACAAATGTCAGGATGGGGTGCTTCCTCCTGTCATGAAGGAGGTCCAGACCTGCTCTTCCTCCCTTATAATCCCTCCAGCCTCTTAACAGGGCATAGGAAGGTGAGTTGGCTGCCCTTTGCTCCCCCATGTGGCCACACTGACAGGCCCTTGTCTCTTCACTCAGTGTCAATTTCTACAAGAAGGCAGCAGTGAGGGCAGTAGAAGTCCAGGAGAATGTATACACTGTCATGGATTAATCTCTCAGGTGAGTGATGTGGACCTCTCACCCTCCAACATCCTGTTGGACACCTCCTCCACAATGGCCTCCAGGATTGTTCTGCTCATGGCCAGAATTAAGCTAACTGTCTTCCTCCTCGAACCCGCTTCTCCTGGGATCTGCATCCTGCAGATGACATAGAGGCCACATCTCTAAAGTCAGAACCAGAGTGTGGGTCTCCACCTTGACCCCCTCTCTTCTCCAGATCCCATAAATCACTAGCTCTTGTCTCCCCTTCTCCTAAGCAGGGATCATCTTTTCTCCATCTTGACCCTGGTCATTCTTGAGGCTCACCTCTTCCCTGGTCATTGAACCCTTTTCACCTCCTGCCTCCATCTCTCCCCAACACAGGCCTCCAGACTGTGCTTCCAGATGTCTCCTCATCTAGTTCGTCCATAGTCTGAACGGCCATGTTTCCTCTCCATTGCTGGAGAATGAAGTGAAATGCCACTGCCTGGACTGAAGGCCTTTCATGATCTGTCCTCTGCTGGACTCTGCTCCTCATCCCCCTTCTTGCATCACCCAAAGTTTCACCACACCCATTAGGCCAAGCCCTCTGTGACTCTGAGACTTTGCATGTATAGTTCCTTCTCCTGAAATGCCCTTCCTCCCCATTCCTGCCAATTCAGGTCTTTATCATCCTTCAGGTTGTCTTAAATGTCACCCAGATGCATGTGTAATTTTGTGTAATTCTTCTATTATATTAAGCGGAGATGTGGCATTTATTCATTCATTTACAGGTATATTCAGTAACTATACTCAATATATATAACTACTATGTGCTAGCATTTCTGAATGTGCAAGAAGTTCATCAATAGATACAGATTCAAAGATCTCTGCCATCAAGCTGTTGTTCTGAAGAGCAGAAGGATAAAAATAAAAAGAAATAAATAAAACAATATCTCCATGTTGGATGGAGATATTTGTTCAGAGAAAAATAACTCAGGGAAAGAAGCACAAAATGTATTGGGAAACAGTTTCTATATCTGACAGTGGAAAGAGGTGATGTTTAGGCAAAGACATGAAGGTGCTTAAGAGGCAGGCTCTGTTTCTGAATAAGAGAAAAGCATTCCAGGAAGAGGATAAGGGGAAGAGCAAGTACATTGCTCAGAGGCAGCAGCAGGCCTGGGTGCTATAGACAACTGGGGCCCCGTGTCTGAGAGTAGAGAAAGGCTAAGGAGGGGAATAGCAGGGAGGATGCTGCAGACTGTGTGGTGTCCTGCAGTGCATACAGGAACCTGGAGCCTTTGGGAAGAGCAGAGACACAACTGGACTCTCACTCTGACCTTGACTGCCCAGGTTAGAGCTTGCCCAAGTGGGTCATGGCAGCCACAGGGAGACTGGGAAGGCACTGTTGGGTCCTCCAGGAGGAGGGATGAGGACTGAGCCAGGGAGGCAGGGTGGGCTGAGGACATGTTTTTGGATGTGTGTGTAAGGTCAAGCTAACAGGGATCACAAGCTCACAAGCTAACAATGTGTTCAGTGAGGGGAAGGCAAGACCAAGGATGAGGCCAGAGAGGACTTTGAAAGAATGGCTTTCTTAGGGGATGATAATTCTGAGAATCCACCTGACATTGGAATGGGATTAGGAGGGAGACAGCTGGATGTAAATGTCAGGAGCTCAAGAGAGGGGTCCAGGCTGGAGATGTTACAGTGCACAGCTGGAGTAAAGCCACGACAACAAAGTAAGGAAGGGGCAATTACAGACAGAGAAGAGGACACACATTTGTCATTGATGACCTAGGCAACAGCAGGTTTTTGTTTTCTTGTTTACTAACTCTAATCATTTACTTAGATCCTCTTTGATTTTTTAAAATCATATTTTCTGCTTTATTGAAGTGTAATTGACAAATTAAAATTGTATATATTTTCAGTGTATGTGATATTTTGTGGCTGTCCACCTCTTCCCTTCATTATTATTCTCTCTTAATTGACAGACAAAACTTGTATGTATTCAAAGTATACAACATCACATTTTGAAATACTGTATGTACACATGGTAGAAGGCCAAGTCTAGCTAAATAATAGACCCATTACCTCACACACACATGAACAACTCTGCAAGTTAAACTAACACCCTGTAGTCATCTGAAGATTGTTTTGTATCTGGCAATATTTGTTTTCTTTTTATTGATTTTGTTTTGCCTTGTGATAAGAACATTTGAAATTTACTCTCTTAGCCATTTTGAAATGTATGACATAGTATTTTTAACTGTAGTCACCATGCTGTACATGAGATCACCAGAACTTATTCCTCCTGTGTAATTGAAACTTTGTTCTTCCACCAACATGTGGCCACTGTCCCGAACCCCAGATCCTGGCCACCAAGGATCCACCCTCATTTTATGACTTTGAATTTTTCAGATTCCACATAAAACTGAGATCATGCAGTAGTTGTCTTTTTGTGCCTGGTTTATTTCACATAGCCTAATGTCACCCAGGTTCATCCATTCTGCCAGGGGCAGAATTTCTTTCCTTTTAAGGCTGAATAATATTCTACTCTGTGGATACTTATGCTGATTCCATATCTTAGCTATTGTGAATAATGCTGTAATAAACATGGAAGTGCAGATATCTCATGGGGTTACTGATTTCCTTTCCTTAGGATATATACCAAAAATGGTAGTTCTATCTTTAATTTTTTTGAGGAACCTCCATACTGCTTTTCATAATGACTGTACTAATTTACATTTTCACCAATAGTGCACAATGGTTCTCTTCTCCACATCCTCACCAATACTTGTTATCTTTTGTCTTTTTTACAATGTCCATTCAAACAGGAGTGGGATGATGTTGCTTTGCCGTTTTTATAAGCATTTCCCTAATGATTAGTAATGTTGAGCACTTTTTCACATGCCTGTTGGTCGTTGTATATCTTCTTTTGAGAAATGTCTATTTCGTTCCTTAACCCTCTTTTAAAAGGGTCATTTTCTTGTTACTGAGTTTTTTCAGTTCCTTCTATAGTCTATTTGCTATAGAGGAATACCTGAGGCTGCACAATTTACAGATAAAAGGAGTTTATCTGGCTCACACTTCTGCAAGCTGTATAGTCAGCATCACACCAGAATCTGCTTTTAGTGAAGGCCTCTGGTTGCTTCCCCTCATAGAGGAAAGTTAAAGAGAGCTGGTGTGTTCAGAGATCAGTCATGGTGACAGAGAACAAGAGACAGGTTGGAGGTGCCAGTCTATTTAAACAACCAGCTCTCCCGTGGAAACTACCTGTCCCTATGACCCAATCACCTCCCATTAGGCACTACCGACAATACTGCAGATCAAATTTCAACATGAGATTTTGAAAGGTCAGATATCCAAACCCATAGCAGATATTAACCTCTTACCTGATGTATGGTTTGCAAACATTTTCTCCCATTCTCTAGGTTGGCTCTTAATTCTAGGTTGTTTCTTTGCTGTGCAAAAAGTTTTTTATTTTGATGTAATCTCATCTGCCTATTTTAGCTTTTGTTGCCTGTGTTTTTAGGGTCATATCCAAAAAAATGATTACCTTGATCAACATCATGGAACTTTTTCCTGGTGTTTTTTTCCTCCAGCAGTTTTATAGTTTCAGGTCTTATATTTAAGTCTTTGCTTTGTTTATCGTGTGAGATAACTGAATCAATTTTATTGGAGTGGTGAAAAGGATCTTAAGATTTAATTGGAAAAAGTTCAGAAAAGAATCAGAGGGAGGTGGAGGTGGGAAGAGTGAGTACAAACAGCCCTTTAAGGAGTTTTGATGCAAAGGAAAAGAGAGAAATAGGTCTGGAGAAGGAGGGCTTTTCTCAGTTCTCTGCAATCTTCCATAGGTGCTCAATGAATTCATCCCTGGAGAATAGTCTCCTATAGCCACCATGGAAAATTACTATAAACTTGATGTTTTGAAACAAAATATATTATTCTCTCACAGGGAGGTCAGCAATTTGAAATCAGTAAAGCTGGAGAGAAAACAAGGCGTTGGTTGGACTGCAACACTAAGAGACTCAAGAGAATCCATTCCTTGCTTTTTCCAGATTGTTTCAGCTCCTATCATTTCTGGACTTCTGGCAAGACCACTCCTACCTCTGCCTCTGTGCTCATATTGCCTTACCCCATTTTGTGTGTGTCATCTCTCCCTCTGCTTCTCTCTTAACAGAACACTTGCAATTAGATTAAGGGGTCAACTGCATAAGTCTCCACTGGTCAAGATCATTAACTTAATCAAATCTAAAAAGACACTTTACTTATACAGTAACATATAGACGGTTCAAGGAACTAAGACTTAGGTTTCTTTGGGGGGGGGGGATCATTTTTCAGTTCACTGAACCGAGCTGACAGGTGACCTTCTGCACCCCTAGAATGCCTCCATCTGCCCTCCAGACCATGTCTTCTCTTTATTATTATTTTCCCTGTTCTTCCTTATCCTGACACACTAGAGGATCAACTCATGTAACAAATATTTATGGGAATTGGGGGCTGCTGTACTGTAAATGACATTGTTAGGAGAGCCAAAAGATAAGTTACAGACAGGGAGAAAATATCTGAACATAGATATCTGATAAGTGACTTGTATCCAGACTATATCAAGGACTCTCAAAATAAAAATATCAGTAATCAACAACCAAAAAAGCCCAGTTTTATAAACAAACAAACAAAAAAGCAGGCACTCAAGAATAAAAACCAAACACACTACTAAAAATGAACAAAGATCCTTTGATCTTTATCTCATTAAAAATAAAAAAACTAAATTAAAAAAATAGATGAACAAAGGGTGTGAATGACATTTCTACAAAAATACAAAAATGGCTGAAAAGCACATAAAAAGATGATCAACATCACTAATTATTAGGGAAATGCAACTCAAAACCGCAACACAAAAATGTCAGTGGGGCAAAAGCTGATTATTGGAGATTTAACACCCCACAGGCAATGGATTTATAGACATTAGGGAACTTTCCTGCTATATTGACATCATCTTACACTTTCCAAGCACAGAGTCCTGAAATCAAATCTGTACTCTTTCATTTGCTAAGTGTATGATATCATGCAAGCTCCTTAACCTTCCATGTTTCCATTTTTGGCTCTGTAGAATGGGCACAAGACGTCCTATCTCACCAAGATATTGTGAGGATTAAATAAAGCTACACAGGAAAAACACCAATCCTGATGCATAGTGACAGTTTGGTGCATAATGATTCCTTCCCCCTTGAACAGAAGATGCTAGTGACATTTGGTCCACAGTTGCAGTGGTCTCATCCCTGAAACTGTATCAGCAACATGTCTGTCTCACTCGATGCTCAAAACCCCAGCAGAGATGTCTTCCTGACTTTCCCTCCAACATCATCTCTCTCTACTCCTGAATCTTTTCTTTCCATCCCCCCCTGTCTTTTTTGGGTCCTGCTACAGGAAAGCCAGATATTAGCACTTTGGGAATTTTCTAAAACTCAGGGCTGAACATAGTCAAAGTAGTTCCCTTGTTCCTCAATCCACGGAATAATTTGAAGCTTCTCAATATGAAGTTCTAAGTAAGAGATTAGCAAACCTCATTTGTAAAAGGTCAAATAGTAAATATTTTCAGCTTTGCAAGCCATAAGGTCTCTGTTGCCACTATTCAAGCCTGCAATTGTAGCACCAAAGCAGCCACAATCTGCAAATGAATTGTATGGCTGTGTTCCGGCAAAATGATATTTACTAAAACAGGCACCCCACAGGCTGTAGTGTGTGCCTGGCCTCAACTCTAGGTTCCTCTGAGTCTCACCCAGTCTCCTTCTCCACTGGCACATCCTACACTCAAGCCATTCTCTGTGGACTCCATTCTCTCCATCCCTCCTCCACGAAGGACCGTCAGTCACCATGTCATCATCAGGCTAACACCTTCTTAGTTTTCAAACTGAACTCAAAAGGATGTCTAGATAAGATGGCAGAGGGAAGCAGAAGCTCATAACCATGCTCCTAAAAAACCTAAGTGAAATAATAAAAATCATTTTAAGAAAATCAGCCCCAACTTTACCAGCAGCACCCAAACCATAATAGGATAAACACATTATGCCGTAAGTTCATGATGGCCCTTAAATAAACAGATGGAAGATTCTGGTGTTGCTTTAAAAAGGCATGATGCCAAAACCTCACTCCCTTATCTCCCAAGGGGACAGTTGAGTCACATGTCTTTCTATGATAATGGCTGGCTGGTGATAGGGATCAATCTGTCCACTGAAACATTAAAAGTTTACGGTTAGACTTCGGGTCCAGATAAGATGACATCGACCCATTTTGTCCCTGCTCCAACCCTCTAAGCAAATCCTGAAGATGGTTCAAGAGACACCAAAGGAGAACTCTGAAGAGTGATAAGAAGGTGAGCTGGTTTAAGACCCCAGGACTGGAGGAACAATGCAGAGGCCAGGTATCTTGCATCTCCCCGCACCTGAGGAAGGATACCCCAACCCACCATTTCACAGCCCCTGACCCAGTAGCAGAAGGCAGCAGCTAGGTGAACTCTTTAGGTTCATCCTTTCCTGGGTGGAAGGGGAGCCCCCTACAAACAGGAGAGACCCACATCACTGGAAAAGGGGATCAGTGTGAGCCAGAAACAAGTGGCCATGAAGCACTATCATTCTCCATCAGGGCTGAGACCCTCCTTTTCTGCCCAGAGATACTGGGACCAGTGGGCAGAACTGGAAAAAGAAATCCGGTCATAGTATCTAATATTCCTGACCCCCAGTTTATTCCTTTATCAATTGTAGTGTCTAGTCTCTCACTTTTGGAAGTGTGTGTGTGTGGAGAGAGAGAGAGACAGAGAGAGAGAGAGGGGTATAAAGCAAGATAGTTAAAGAGCAGTACAGAGATCAGTAAACAGAGGGGCTTACCAAGTACATCCTCCTTCCCTGTGGCTCAGCCAGGTGGCACGGACAGACAGACATTGTCCACAGGAAGGACACTGCTTATGAGTTAACCGGAGCAGTGGGAAAAGGGGCCAGAGCGAAGAGCCCAGCACCATCCAGTCTTGATTGTCTGCCCCACCCCTGACTCCATCCATCCCTCTCAAGCAGGCCTGGGCACTTCTCACCCCTCCACCCTCCTTGGCTAGGACTAGGATCCTAGCCTCCAGGTTCAAGTCCTTCTGTAGAGTTAGGAAGTACTTGAGTTCAAATTGTTACAACGACCGTTCCCCTGCCTGGGTTTTCCCAGGGGCCAGAGTGTCTCCTAGTGGGTGGAGCATCATCCCTGGGAGCTGTGAGGCAGAATCTTGGTCAGACTCCAGTGCAGAGGTGGCAGGAGTCCAGGGAAGGGTCTGGTGACATCCTAGGTTAATGAAACTGGTCAGAAGTAACTGAGACCCTCCAGGGTGTGCTTTCATCCTCAGATTTGGGCTTCTTACTCCCTATGGGTATTAACTAGGGATTGGTGTAGTTCTGGGAAAAGGATGGGACACATGGGTATCCCTGGTAATTAGATGGGAATAATAAAGCTGATCTTGGACATCATTGGTAAGAAAGTGTTAATCACTCAAGATTCTTAGGACATTTTGCAGCTATTACAAGACCATGGAAAACAAAGTTTCCTTGTGATGTTGTAGCTGTCTTCCCACTAGACCTGAATAACCACAAGGCTGCTACTTCTCTTTCTCCATCTGAGCAGATTTTCACTTTTTCATTCTGTGACAAGATTTTCCTCTTTCTGTGTTTTCTAGCATTTGTGTCTGAAGTCTTCTGTTCTCTCTCTCTCTGCGTGATCTCAGCCACTCCAAGGCTCTCGCCCTGATTTCTCCCCAGACACTTCCCGCAGTTTCTGTCTAGCTCAGGCTGTCCTGATCCAGAGTCATGAAGTGGCAGGAAGTCTGGACCCTGTTGATAGGGCCCTGAGACTTAGTGAGAGGAACTTCATGCCCTTCTGACATTCCCCTATGTGTGCCTCTGTTTGAGGGCTCAGAGGTGCCCGTGTGGGGGTCTGGCTTCCTCTTCACCTGTGTCCTTTCCAGGATCTACTACACCAAGTGATCACACCCTCCCCAAAGTAATCCCTTATCTGAGTTCCTCAAATCCCACAACAGGGCTCACCAGCTGGTCCTCCAGAGAACCAGCCTTTTTTTTTTTGAGACAGAGTCTTGCTGTCACCAGGCTGTCATTGGAACCTCTGCCTGCTGGGTTTAAGTGATTCTCCTGCCTCAGCCTCCGGAGTAGCTAGGACTACAGGCATGCACCACCACGCCCAGCTAATTTTTGTATTTTTGGTAGAGATGAGGTTTCACAATGTTGGCCAGGCTGGTCTTGATCTCTTGACCTCATGATCCACCCACCTTGGCCTTCTAAAGTGCTGGGATTACAGGCATGAACCACCATGTGTGACCCAGAGCCAGCCTTTTGAGGCATCTGACATCACTACTGTTTTTTTTTTTTTTACTGGCAGGGTTGGAGACCGCTAGAGAAGAAAAGTGAGAAAAATTTGATTTCCTTTCTTCCTCAGGACAGAGGAAGATCCTGGACATGGGAGCATGAAGGGAAGGTCCAGACATGGAAACTCCATGATCATTATCTCCTATACCTCTCTCTTCTCTCCTAACCCACCTCTGCACATCAGAGAAACTCTTTGCTGATTTGGCCCTGCCATTCACAGAAAAACAAAAGAACTTCTGTTTACTCCCATACCTGGCTTCCAAAACTATTCCCTATACTTGTGAGTAAGCAAAGCAGGGAGAAGGAAGATACATATATAGATATATGTGTACACACACACATACACACACACACACACACATATATTTTATAATGCTTTAGTTACTGAAATTAAAGAATTACTTTATGCAAGATTCTGCTACTTGTGTGTTTACCTTTCTGCAGATTTGGTAAGGCTGCCAATCAATACATATTTATCACCTACTGTGTACAAGGCAAGTCCATGGTACTTGTGAGAGTTAAACATCTTTGCCTTCAGGGACTCACTTTCCATAGTGGGACTTCAGTGCACTGTGAGGAAACTTATCCTCTCACCTGCTCCCTGCCTATCTCCAATCTATTCTCCACAGGGAAGGCAGAGTCAATTCTAAAAATCCACTTTTCTCCTCCTTTCAGTAGCTCCCAGTCACCGAAATGGGAACAGCAGAAATCCTTAAGATGAGTCCAGGGTGTTACATGGGCTTTCTTATTTAGCCCAGGTAGGGAGCCTGTTTCTATCGTCTAGAACAGACCACAAACCAAAAAGTAAATGCATGCACAGACACAAACCCAAATTTCTTCATTTATTCTATCAAAGGATAGTTTTCAAAAAAAGGGGTAAAACCATGACTTTCATAAAGATATAAAATTGACACGTTAAAGATTTTTATCTAACTCATTATTAATGAGGAAACCAGGAAGAGTTCAAGGAAGCACCAATTTATATGAAGTAAAGGAATGTGGAAATAGATTGTGGATGCATATAAAACCAAACCAGCTTGCTACAGGGACTCACATGAACCTCCAGCAGAAGCAGACAACATGGTTATTAGTTATCTACAAATTATAGCAGTGCAAATAGTTCATAAACAGTAAAATGCTGGATACATTATAAGTAACTTCAACAAATCAACAAGAACAAAATCCAATAATCCCTTTAAAAAGTCGGTAAAAGACATGAATAGACATTTCTCAAAAGAAGACATACGAGTGGCCAACATATAAAAAAAAGTGCAACATAACTTATCATCAGAGAAATGCAAATTAAAAACACACTGAGATACCATCTCACACCAGTCAGAATGGCTACTATCAAAAAGTCAAGAAACAACAGATATTGGCAAGGTAGTGGAGAAAAGGGAATGCTTATATGCTGTAAGGAGGAATATAAATTACTTCAGCCCCTGTGAAAAGCAGTTTGGAGATTTCTCAAAGGACTAAAAATAGAACTCCCATTCAACCCAGCAATCCCTTTACTTAGTGTATACCCAAAGGAAAGTACATAATTCCACCAAAAAGATTCCTGCACTCATATATTTATCACACCATTCGTAATAGCAAAGACATGGAATCAACCCAGGTGCCCATCCTCGTTATGGTAGGTAATGTGGATAAAGAAAATATGACAGGTACACATCATGGAATACTATGCAGCCACAGAAAAGAATAAAATCATTTCACCCAGCGACATAGATGTAGCTAGAGGTCATTACCCTAAGCAAATTAATGCAAATAGAAAACCAAATATTGCATGTTCTCATTTATAAGTGAGAGCTCAACATTGGGTATACACAGACATAAAGATGGGAAAAATAGACACTGGGGACTCCAAAAGGGGAAAGCAAGTGTTGAAAAAATTCCTGTTGGTTACTATGCTCACTATTTGGGTGACAAGATCAACAGAAGCCCAAACCTCAGTATCACATGACACACCCTTGTAACAACCCTGCACATGTACCCCCAAATCTAAAATACAATTTTTAAAAATGCTAGGTTCAGATAACGACAGAAGGGTGTTCTCCAGAAATCACAAAATTTTGTATTGGAGACACCAGGAATCTTGTTTTCCTTATTCTAAATTTCCTTACATTTCTTAAAGTAAGTATGAGTATGTAATGAGCACCTAGTATGTTAGATGCAGAGCTCATGCAAAGAGGAGGGGAAGGGGAGGGGAGGCGGAGGGAAGAGATGATTAGTGAAAAGGTTTTCCTTAGACCCCGGATTTCCTTAGACCCCGGAGCAGAGAGGATGAAGAACATGTCTGAGGCCAAAGGGGCCAAGGGGTGGGTGGGGGCTGCAGCCAATCAGTGATTGGGTTATGGATGACTGACATAAAGGCTGGGTTTCCAGGGAACTCAGTGACACAGCGTGAGCCCGATTAGCTGGTCTAGACAGACAGTAATCATGCGACTAATGACCGGGTGCCTTACAGGGGACCGACCTCCTAAGAGGCTGACTGGCATGAGCTTAGCTAACTGCTCGCCGGCGCAGGCCATGGGGGCGCGTTACCTGATTGTCTGAGGAACTGGCTGGCGCGGGACTGACGCTGACTCGCCGGGCGCTGCGCTGGTCCCAGCCTCAGCTCCTCACGGGCCGCCTCACTGGGGCGATGACCGCTGGCTGCCCTCGGGCTGAGCAGGTGACTGGCCTGGTGGAGGCTGAGGAATGCGCCGTGGTTTCACCTGGTGCCTGATCCAGAATTGGCCTTGGATCCCGCAAGGGGCTCAGGGGGCTGGCGGGCCTAACAGTGACCCCGGCGGCCTCACCTGCCTGGGCTGCCTCATGCTCCAAGTATCTGAGGGACGCCTTACTGACAGAGCAGCCCCGCTCTCCTGGAAGCCCACTTTGTGCAGTTCCAATACAGGTGCCTGCAGCCGAGGACTACCGGGGATGCCCACAGGCCAGGCACTGCTGTGAGGCCAGGCATCCTCTGTCAGGGCGCGGAGCTGGCGGTGTGAGGGCTCCACTGTCGCCCCGGGCCCAGCCCACGCGCCTCGCACGTTGTGCGTCCACCCCACAGCCAATCAGTGGCTGTACAGGCCTCTTTAATAGCCAATCAGCAGCTTCAGGTGCCTGCTATGCAGCCCATCCGCCAGGCAGACGGAGCTTTCCCCCAAGAACACGTGCCTCTGGGAGCCGACACGCAGTCGCCAGAGCCAATCAGGAGCAGAAGGTGCAAGTCCCTCCCCCCACGTCAGGCCCAGAGGACTCTTAAGGGCTTGAGCCAATCAGCAGCAGTGGGCGGTGCCAGGGCTGTTTGAGCGCCAATTTTCTCCTCCCCGAGGCCTTTGCTCACCGTGTTTATGAAACCACGCTCCTCTCCAGCCCGGAGGACTCTGTTCCTCTTGATGAAATCTACTTTATTTTCTCACATTTTACTCACTGCACACTTTCGAACCACTTCTTGCTGCTCAATATTTTTGTGACAGCACCACTAGGATACAGGCTCACTGCAGATAGAGTTTTGGCTCTGGTTTTTTTAAGTTTGTTTTGTTTTTGTTTTTCTCACCGATGTTTCACCCATGGCCTTTCGCTGCGCCCTCCTCGCTGCTCCGGGATGAACTTGCCTTTCAGGCAGCCCTGCCCATCTCGCACCTCCTGGGCTCACCTGTCTCACCTGCCTGTAGATCCTCACCCCCACCCTGTGCTCCCACAGCCCCGTCCTCCCCGCTGGCTCAGCCTGGACCCCACCAGGCTGTGCCTGCCACTGTCTCCCCTGCTCAAGATGGGTGCCCCTCCAGGTCCGCCTCGCCTAGCCCAGACCTCCAGGCGCCTCCCCCCTTAAATGGGAGGCAACTGTACAGGGTGCAGGCGCAGTGAAGGCATGGTCTTCTGAGGGACCTGCCCCGTTCTGGGAAGGGAGTGTGAGTGTGCGGGGGAGGGGACAGCCCTGCAGATGTCAGAGGCGGGGCAGGGGCAGGACAGGTGTCCTCTGTAAGGAACCCTTCCCTTCCTTTTTCTCCTTCCATCCTCTGAGCGGCCCCATGTCACAGACTGGCCCAGACCCCTGTGTGACTCTGCGTCCACCGCGGGCCACACCAGGCTGTGCTCACAGGAACACATGGAATCCTCTCGACCACTCCATGTACTCCCTTGCCAGGGCTGCCTTGAGAAAGGAACACAGACCGAGTGGCTTCAACAACGAATTTGTTTTCCCACCCTTCTGGAGGCCGGAAGTCTCAGACCAAGCTGTGGTCAGCGTTGCTTCCTTCTGAGGCCTCTCCGTATGGGTGGCTTGCAGGTGGCACCTTCTCCCTGTGTCCCACATGCTCTTTCTACTGAGCATGTCTCTGTCCTAATCACCCCTTCTTTCTTTCTTTATTTTGAGACAGAACCTTGCTTTGTCACCCAGACTGGAGTGAAGTGGTGATATCTCGGCTCAATCTAGCCTCGGTCTCCCGGGTTCAAGTGATTCTCCTGTCTCAGCCTCCCAAGTATCTGGGATAACAGGCATGCACCACCACGTCTGGCTAATTTTTGTATTTTTAGTAGAGACGGGGTTTCACCATGTTGGCCAGACTGGTCTTCAGCTCCTGACCTCAAGTCATCTGACTGCCTAGGCCTCCCGAAGTGCTGGGATTACAGGCCTGAGCCATCATACTCTACCCCTTAAAATCCCTTCTAATAAAGACACAACTCATGTAGAATGACAGCCCACCCTAACGACTTCATTTTAACTTAGTCGCCTTTTTATTAGTCCCCGTCTCTAAATATGGTCACATTCTGAGGTGCTAGGGGTTAGGACATCATCATAGGAATTTGTAGGGCACACAGTTCATCCCTGACACCCATAAGTGTGGACATCCAATAATGCACAGAGCGGGTAAGCCCCTTCCCAAGACAGCACCATAGGTTTTACAGAGCCCAGCTCAAGCCAGCAGCCAACCGGCTACTGAGCTTATGCCCCTGACCTCTCTCTGTGAGGACTCAGATGAGGAACGCCCAGGGCAGTGGGGACCACCAGGAGCTCCTTACTGAGGACAGGACTCCGAGTGACCCTTGAGGATGATTAGGGCTGGACACGCAGATGCTCAGGGCCTGCCCAGGAACACAGAGCATGTTGGCCACACCTGAGTCTGCAGAGAACATTGCTTCCACATGCTGGGTTCTCCCTTAGGCCGAGGGGAGGGTGCTGTGATCCCTCCATGGGATAGATGAGACTGAGACTTGGAGGGAGAGGGACGAGGACCCTCACACTCCAGAGCCAGGGCCTCCCCCAGCATCTTGGGCTCAGCCTTATTCCCCATACTGGGCTCCCAGGGCCTGGGCTGTACAGTCACCTCCAGGAATGCTGGGTCAGGGTGCACTAAGTAGGTTAGGAAGGCCCAGGACCACCTGTGGGACCACATGCTCACGGCCCCTCAGAGTCCTGGTGCCCTCCATTCTGCCCCTGTATACCTGAGACCGAACCTTCTAGCTGCACAGGGCCCTTGGTTCCACAAGCCCTGCCTGTGTTTCCAGCACCAGGCCCCTTACTAATAGGAGCTGGGGTGGTCCAGGGCTCCTCTGCCCTGTCGTTCACTAGGGAACTTCCCAAGGAAGGAGACAGTCTGTCACACTCTCCCCTTTGTCTCTATCCCCCGAAAGGAGGAGATGCTCCTGGTGTGGTTGTTGTGCTCATTCATTAAACATCACCTCCCCCACCTCGGGGAACCCCTCTCCATCTCTCATGCCTCTTGGTTCCTCCGCCCGTCCTTCCTGAGTCCCAGCCCTGGCAGGACCAACCCTCCCAGGAACCTAGAAGCTGTAATGGCCAGGCAGTGCCTGCTTCCCTGGGTGTGAACAGTGGTGTGGGAGGGAAAGGCTGTGGGCAGAGAGCCCACAGCTGTGGTTTGGGGCCTCCCTGCTGCGTGCAGCCCCCACTGAAGACCCTGTCTGGAAAGTAGACTGGCCACTCCTCAAGAGCCCTGATAGCTCTGGCAGCGTGAGGCAAAGGTCCCCTTTTGTGGTCAGTTATTTTTCTGATCTTACCCCTAGTCTTCCTTTGGGGCCTCCTCTAGGGCCCTGTGACACCAAGGCTCTGTGACTCTCACCCT